TATCACCTGACCGTGATTGGGCGTCTCTTCTAGGCGCTTGTTCATGGGGATCACGTGACCATGAGCGACGGTATGCTTCGTAACACAAGCTTCCCTCTCCAACCGCCAAGACCCTTTGGCAATTAAACCATAAGATCCTTTCTTCTCCGTCTGTGCTTCCGCTTTGAGAAAGGAAGTATTCTTGAAACAGTATGCGTAGAGCTGTCGTGTGATTCAGTGAAGGATTGATCATTCGTGCCGATGCTTGACTGTTCTGGTGCAGGACTGCCCAACGACAAGTATCGCTTTTCGACTTGATCAGCCCAAGAAGTCTGATTGGCGTTTGATGATTCGGAATCACTATTGAACAACTCGACAGTTCGTCCACTGTGGTGCGCTTGAGGGTGTGAGGGACTCAGATGAGTTCCTTGCTTCGCATTACTGCCAGTGCTTGGATTCGAGGAATCTATACTGGAGTTTCGTGCGTAGGCTGACTTGGGATGCTGAGGTGATAGCGAATCGGGGATTCGTCCTGCATTCCATCGGTCATTCTTGCGCAGTGGTCGCGCCCTTGATCGGTTACTGTATTCAGAAGTATCGTTCGCCCGAGGTGGCTTTGGACATTCAAATGCGTGATGTCCGATACGATTGCAGTTCCAGCATCGACCAGAGAACTGTCCTTGTCCAGGATGTGAACGGCGAGAATCTTCGCGAGTCCCTTTGAATGGCTGATTGATCCATTGGTTAATGGAAGGTGAAGACTGCTGGTCAGACGTGGTCGACTGCCGCTGCTTGGTCTTCTTCTGTTTGCCTTTCTGGTTAGGACACGTCTGTTCACGTTGGCTGGGCATGCTGTTTGCTGAAGAGGAAGACGTAGATGAAGTACTTTCATCGTCATCTCCTCGCCGGCTCTTGTCAAATTTTCTTTGGACAATGGCTTTGATTCCATGCCATTCTTTTTGACTGAGATCGAGCGATGCCATCAGCACTTCCTTCCATATTGATGTAGGGAAGGCTGTCTGATCGTGATGCGATGAATGAGTACGTATGGCACCAATTCGAATGGTATTCATGCCAAGAATATGTTCAGACATTCGATCGATATCCATAGGTTCGTCATCGTCTTCTTCTTCGGCTTCCTTTTTCTTCTGATCGACACGGTGGTCTCGATTGTCACCTCCGAGAAGAAGCTTGACAAGCTTTGCATTGACCAACTTTGTTACTAGTTGCTCAATTTGCTTTCGCATTTTCTTCGTGATCGGCGGATCATTTGAGGGTTCTTTTGATCCGGTAGATTCGCGCTCATCCTTCTTCTTAATTGAAGAAGTCTTCTTCTGCTTCTTCTTTGATACGGCCTGGACGGGCAGGGTTCGATCGATGTTTGGCTGCTTTGCGGGACATTGATCCATCTCGTGCCCTGGTTTCCTACACCTAAAACATAGGCGTTTCTTGACTGGAAGGCTCCGTACTTGTCGTATTCGTCGCGTCCTGTCGACGTCCATTGCATTGGGATCATCTATATCCATCGACTCTTCTGTATTCATTGAATCGCCCTGATCCACATGTGTGATGAAGTCGAAGATGTTACTTTTTCCCTTATGGACGTTTCGAAGGTCGTTGACTTGTCTTGCCACGTCGCAAGCATCCTCATACGTGGTTGGAGGATTCGGGGTCAGGAAGACTTTTTCTGCCAACTTCGATTCCAAGCCTCGCTTGAAATGAACAAGTTTGGTATAGTCGTCATCGATTTCAGCATAGCGGAATAGGATATCGAGATTCCCAATGTAATCGTCGACCTTTCCTTTCTGCTGTCTACACTGGTTGTCGAGTAACGTTTGCCATGCTTGGTCCTTGGTTGCGACTCCTCCATACTTTTCTTGGAGTGTCATCCGAAAGTCGCGATAAAGTCCTAGATCATCCGATCTTCCTGTAGACGTGATCATCGCTGCTTCCCATGATTCGACCCATTTTGCTGCTGCCGAACCAGGTTCGAAGTGGGATAGGATGAACGTTATCTGACTATAATCGTCGTTGTATATGTGGATGTTTGCCTGGAGATGTCGTTCTCCAGCCTGGAGGAATGACGTGAATGTTCGCTTATCTCCTGCGAATGGTCGGATCTCGCCTAGCTGTAATTCCTCCTTTTCCAATTCTGGTTGTGCAGAATTATACAGCGCGTAGAGATTCATTTCCAGGAGATATTCCTGCCACTGGAATTCCAGACATGTCGGTCCTGGATGCACTGGTGGTCCATTGGCTGGATCGTACCGTGCTTTGATGGGATTTTGACTAGTAGTTCTCAAACTACTTGTTTGCGCCATGGCCGACTGTGGCCTCTTTGGTATTCCGATTGGCGTTACTGGCCTTCCTCCTTCTGAGGATGTCCTGGTCAAAGGTGTCGTCCTGACTCCTTTCCATAATCCTAACCCATCGTAGGGTTTCTTGGATGTTGGCGTAACGCTGGAATCGCCACTCCGTAGTAGACTTGGATTGATGCCGAGAGGATTCCATTCCTCCCGTCCTTTCCCTTTGTTTGATCCTCCGGCGTCCTCTGGCCTTGGATCGACTTGTATCACTTCTCCTCGAGGAAGGTCCGTATGCGTTAGGAATTCATCCTCGAAATCCTTTGCAATGTCCTTCCGATTATTGATTACCCGTTGAATTTCTTCAACGTCATGTTCGAGCTCTCGAAGCTCCTGTTGCTCTTCTGGGGTTGTAAGGTTCCCCAGCCGTTGTCGTCTTCGCAATGTAATAGCTCGCGTATTCTTGACGTCTGCGAACCAATCCAATTCTTCATTGGTTGCATCGTTCCATGACAACGGCGTCGTGTATCCTTTGTCTCCTTGATAGCCTACCGGCTCATCTCCGGAGTCTGATTCGTATCCTGGGTTCTCCCGATATGACATCTTGCCTTTTCTTGGTGGCCCTTAACCAATTGTTCGTCGACTGCACTGGTCCACGTCTTTACACAGAGTTCTTCTGGATAGTCTCACGGACTACCGCTAGTTCCTTGAATCTTCTTGATTCCGAATTTGCCTTCCCTGGGAAGGGCTTTAGCACGTCTTCTACGTGTGCCTCAGTTGAGGGCTTCTCTTCTGGATTACCACACAGATAACCGCTAGTGCTTGAGTTCGATACACAGATTTTGATTGAATCCACACAGATTCTGGAAGCGACTACACAGGTCTTGATTTTCCTGTAGCGTCCAAGTAGACCCCACTTCTCTTAAGTGGTTCTAAACCTAAATAGGTTGACCTATAGAAAAACCTCTTCCAAATGTTATGAAGCGTTCCCTGCTAGAACGTTCAGAACCACGTGTGCTTTCTCACACGTACTAGTCCACAACGTGGACAGAGACTTAGGTACCAAATATACCTAACGTCCCCAATAGTCAGGCAGACTATTAACAGGGTTTATAGTGTGGTCAAGCCTAGTAGACGATATAGCAGTGAGGTCCTCACTCTACCCTTGCTAGGCCTTGGCCGCTACAGCTACTGCTCGTTCACCCGCAGGTTACTAGGTTCGCTGTTCTGACTCTAGCAAGCGTACGAGCTTACTACCTCTTGAGAGCGAGTACGATTGCACGAGGGTTCTAGAACTGAGAACGTTCAGAGTCACAGGTGGAAGAGGTTAGTCTTCCCACTGCTGCTCCGCCCCTTTATATAGTTGCAGACCTATAGTCTGGGGTACTAGTACAAGGGGTCCTCTACACTGCCTCAGTGATAAAGATAGGTGAAACACACCGGAGCTTGGCTGCTGCGAGCCAGGTAATTGGCGAGCTAAGGAAAGCATAGGTGAAATACCTAGAATATGAAATGAGAACCAAAGTCCTGGATCGCAGATCCTGGGGTTAGAGTTTGAGAACCCTAGAAGCTGTCCTCGGTCACATAGTGACTGGTATCACCTGACCGTGATTGGGCGTCTCTTCTAGGCGCTTGTTCATGGGGATCACGTGACCATGAGCGACGGTATGCTTCGTAACAGAAATTCAGTCTTGTAAGTGCTTGCTGTATCACACAAAAACCCTTTACATATTTTTTCCCACAATTATTGGCATCCTGCTGTAGATACAAAATCATATCAACTGTCACAACTTGTTCAGCAAAATGAAGACTTTGCCCATGCCACCATCCATATGATCAAGGCATGGGCTGAACAGCTGGGTGAAAGCCCAACATGGGTTTTTGAACAAGTGTTGCAGTTTGTAAACAATTCAGACTCTAGCAAAGAGCAGCTTGCCACAGAGTCTGTTGGCACCAGTCAGGTTGAGTCAACTTATCCTTTTTTTTGCTTTGAGCCCCACCTGAATACTACCACTTTAACACACATGCAGATTGATCCCCTTGAATCAATGCTGACTAATACAGCACAGGAGGGAGATGGTCTTAATTCTCCATTTTCAGATCTCAATTGGCCTGATTTACCTGAGATCATGCACTCTGCTGAAGAAGATGCTCAGTTTTTCTAGATAGTTTATTTGTGACATAGTTATTCTGGCAGTCCATCCAAAGTACAACTCTACAGTACAGCCATTCATTATGTACTAGACACTGTCCCACAAATGTACAACTCCGAATGATCAGGAAGTTGTGTACTCGAAATCCGAAAAATAATGTCCGTAGGGATCGGGCGTGATCGACCCGTACTGCACAGCAGCGTCAATCTCGGGGTATCGCTCGAACCTAGCGATTGCCAAGAATTAATGGGGCACGTCGATCAGGAGCAAGAGAAGAAATGGCGTACGCGCTCGCATCGCCATCGCCAGCGATCTTCGGTAGATACGGCGCTTGAATCTCTCGATTACGCAGTTTGGTCCAGTCGACTTCTCTGAACCACGGGTGGTTGAATACGTCGCGCGCACCGTTGCTCAGGTTTCCGTAACGTTTTGATGGGTCGGACTCCATGAACTTCAGGATAAGGTCGGTGGCGTTCGGGTGGAATGCGGGCCATTTGATGCATGCGGGGCCTGTTGCGATCTTTTCGTACAGTCGGACGGGCGTAATGTCGTGTTCGTGGTATGGAGGTAGCCCGGAGAGCATCTCGAAGGTCAGTACGCCGAGTGCGTACCAGTCGACGCTCTTGTTGTACCGCGCGTTGGCAACGATCTAAAGACTTGGTCAGTACAGCATCTACGAGCGCACAACAGATTCATGCCACAGTCCTACAACGTACGTACGCACGCTGAGGACATTGGACCGAACGTACCTCTGGTGCCAGATAGTCTGGAGTGCCGCAAAGCGTCCAGACCGTGGTGTCGCAGTACTTGGCGAAACCGAAGTCGGCGATTTTAATGTGGCCGTCGAAGTTGAGCAAAATGTTTTCCGGTTTGAGGTCTCGATAGATGATATCGAGGTCGTGTAGGTAATTGAGCGCGAGTGCGACCTCGGCCGCGTAGAACTTTGCGACAGGATCGGGGAACCTCTGCGACACTCGATCAGGATACGAGGCTGGACTGAAATGGGAGGCTCACATTTGATCGTCGAAGGAGGGTGAACAGCTCTCCACCTGGTACGAAGTCCATTACCATGTACAAGTTGGCGGTGTCCTGGAATGTCCCCCAGAGACTGATGATAAACGGGTGTTGAACTGCTTGCAGCATGGCCTGCTCGTTCTTCGTATGCGATATCTGCTTCATGCGCACAATCTTGTCCTTGTTCATCACCTTGATCGCGTAGAAGCGCAGGTTGTGCTTGCTGCGAACTGGGCGCATAATTGGAGGGCTTGCGTTCGTAGACACAGTCGCTGGACGTACCGAGATGCACGCGCCCAAAGCTGCCAGTCCCAAGCGTCCGTTGGATGATGAAGTCGGAAAGTCGGTACGTGCCTCTCGGTCTGGACATCCTCAGCCGTGGTGGAAGCTCCGCAGATGTGTCCCCGTCTCCCTCGCGCGCGCGCGCCCAGTCCTCCCTACCGGCCTGCTTGCTGTGCGTGCTCACTGAAGTCCGCTCGGTCGAGATAGATCCGTGATGATCGTGAGACACGGTAGACAGAGATGTGGACGAGAAAGAAGATGAAGGCGATGACTGCATCGGCACCTTCGAGGGGCCGAAGTGTCCTAGCTTGCCCGTCATTTTCTTGAACATGATGTTAGGATGAGACAGAAGGTAGTGAGGCTGCAGACGCCGTGGGGACTACCTCGTTGTCCTTGTTCCACTTTGAAGTTGATTCGACATGTCCTTGTTCCTCATCTGCGCCACCAGGAGTTTGCTTCCCTGATCGCATTCACCAGTCTCCGGGGTCCCCCTCAAATCGAATGGGCCAATCATCTCGAGCCCAACGTCAGGACCGGAAAAGCTCAATTTAACCAAGTACTGTTCGTGCAAGCGCGTCGGTTGTGTCAAAGAGAGGATGGCGAGCAATACGAGACAGCTAAGCCCGGGGCTCTTTGTGTCACTCATCCGCGCGTTATGTCGGTGGAAAACTCCACTTTTCACGACCAAAGGCTGGGAGAAAAGGCAGCTCAAAAAGGTGGATATTGGAAGTCTCGCCAGTCGTGAGCTGTGGCAAGTGGGATCCTTGTATTGAACCTCCCAAAGGCTGTTCGCGGCTCGCAATGTCGCGTTACAATCTTAGCGTAAGTCATGTGACCAACGCTTTGTGGCGCGTCACTTGGTTATTCGTTGCTGTGACCTGTCCTATGTAGGTCTTGTTCATCTTGCCTTTGCTTTTCTACTTCAGAGTATGAAGGCCTTCTGATATAAGAATAAAAGGCTGAATACGGTGCATACCAATTCTAATAATCTGTACTGAAAATTTGGACCCACTCTTTCCATGAAAATCTGCCAGCATGAGCAACACCAACATTGGGCATTGGTCTGCCGTGCTCGTCTTGGTGTTTTTCTTTATTTCGAGTGAGGATAAAAGGTTGGGTTAAACTCCTGGCAACAATTAAGCTGCATATACAGATGCGGCTGTGATTCACCCTTTGCGCGTGCCTATTCCTCATATCATCCTCAGCGGTGGGAGAAATCTCCTGGTTAGGCTGCGGATTCTCCCTTCACAGTCAACACCTGTTAGGAGGCACTATCTGCATCTCAACTTTATCACTGTTCCGTTCTTTTCTTTCCTCGTCCTGCTTGCTGCTGGAGCCATTGACGGAAAGGTCGTGCATGATGGTATTGTTGGTGCTAATGGTGTCAAGCCGTTGGATATCATGGCATTGTTTATCTCGCTGGTAAAATGGCAAATCTTAATACCCTCGTCTCCTTCAATTGATGTACGTCATCTAGGCTTATTTATCTATTTCACTGGATGCAACGGGACTGTTACGATTTCTGGCATTTTGGGTCGTGCAAAAGGGCGGTTCCTCCGGACGCAGGCTATTTACAGCTCTATATGTATTTTTCCTCCTTTGTGGTGTCATTGTTGGTAATGTAAGTACTCATCTCACTGCGTCTGCGAAGAGTTTCTGATATATTTCCTTGTAGGATCCAGTGATCCTTTCTGGCACAGCGTTCCTAGCGTACCTCACTAGAGTATCTGGGTAAGTGCTAATATATCTTATCACCAGCGACAGCTTCCCATAGGCTTGCAGCATCACGAATCCAACAGCCTGGATATTCTCTCAATTTGCCGCGGCTAACATGGGTACGCATGACATGCTCTGTCTCTTCTGCTGCTTACTCTCAGCGTATCTCCAGCATCAGTAGTGCTCGTCTCATCCAACCCCACCAATCTAGTCCTATCGGGCGCATTCTCCCTGTCTTTCACGACCTACACAGCACATTGCATTCTGCCCTTCCTCGGCGCTGCAGTTGTCGTGTATCCCGTCCTTATCCTGGGCCTCTTCCGTTCCGCCGAGCTTATCCCCTCCTCGATCGACCTCAACATCACAGAGACTGAGGACATCAGAGAGACGCTGATCGACAGAACGGGCGCAATATTTGGTAGCATTCTGCTTCTCATCACGCTGGGCGTCCTGGTGGGCACGAGCACAATCGGCATCTCAGTGTGGGAAGTGACCGTGCCACCTGCAATCATAATGCTCCTGCGGGACACGTATCACGACTGGTCTCGAAGACCCCATCCAAGCCAGGACGGCTATCGCGCAAGCATATCCTCCGGGCTGCAGGAGGACCTGAACCATGCCGTCCAGCCGAACAGGATGTCGAACAAGCCTCAGATAGAGCTGCAGGGCCTCCCTGCACGGCTCTCTTCTCGCCCCTCCTTGGAGACGCTTTCGCAGGCTGAGCCAGAAGCCCTGCTGCCGCTCGCCGAGCGTTACTGGGCACGATTCTCATTCACGTTTCCGACTGTGACAGCGATCGCGAAGCGGCTACCATTCCCTCTCCTCCCGTTCGCCTTCCTGATGTTTATACTCGTTCAGGGACTATCATCCCAGGGCTGGGTCGAGCTCTTCGCTCGGTGGTGGGCGGCATGGGTCCACAGGACTGGGCTCTTGGGCGCCATAGGCGGCATGGGCTTCCTTGCGTGCATGTTCTGCAACGTATGTCGTCCATACTACCATCAAAAAATGGTACCTGATGCTCCTTTCATCATCAACAGGTGTGCGGCACGAACATAGGCGCGACCATCCTGCTCGCACGCGTAATACAACTCTGGGCATCGAATGACGGCCCGGTTGACGTGCGCACGAAGGAGGGCGCAATATATGCGCTCGCTCTGGGTTCCAATTATGGCGCATTTACGCTCACCTTTTCGGCCTCTTTGGCAGGCTTACTGTGGCATCGCATCCTTCAACAAAAAGGTATTCATGTCCGCCCGAGGCAGTTCCTAATGCTGAATCTGCCGATTTCCATCATTGCCATGACATGTTCTGCTGCCATTTTGTTAGCTCAGATCTATGTAATTCATGGACAGTAGTGGTCATGCATGAACCAGGATGACGGCGCAGAATCAGTGGGCTTTTTGCAAGTATAACAACAGCTCGCAGATGTGATAGCAGTAGATACAACCTAGAGACGCCAATCTCCAAAGAAATCCGAGTCAGATCGTACAACAGCAAGCATGTAATCGACGATAGTGCCTCCCTCCTCTTCGTTCTCCTCATCCTCCGTAACCTGTGTTTCATCATCTGCCGCTGTGATAGGCGGAGGTAGCTGTAAGTCTCCGTTTGTGGCCGCAGTTGTCGCTTCCGGCTCCTCAGTATGCAGCGTATCGGGGATTGCACCATCGCCGCCGCCTTCCACACCAAAATCGGCCTCATCTGCACCGACCATAGCTACTTCTTCCTTGGCAGCGACAGCGGCCGCATGGGCATCCTCCGAATCCTCAAACTCGCCCAGAGCTTTCGTCAAAGCCGTTTCGTCCGTGAACAGTGTTCGCCAGTCGAATTCGCCCCGCTGAATAACGATGTCGTCCAGTGACCTTTTCTGGTTCGCCTTGCGAAGAAGCGCCTCTTCGACGGTATGCTCGGAAACAAACCGATATATATGCACATCACGTATTTGACCAATCCGATGTGCTCTGCCAGTCTGCGTTAGGCGGATAATATATGATGATTTAGCATGGCTCACCTGTCTTCGCATTGACGATCCATCTGTGGGTTGAAGTCGCTGTCATAGAATATGACAGTATCCGCACCTGTCAAACTGGGTTTAATCAGTTAGTACTGGTAATGTCTATAAGAGGTACACTCTTCACGTACTTTATACCAACACCTCCTGATCTTGAGGAAGAGATGAAGCAAAAGATCCGAGGGTCTGAGTTAAATCGTTCTGTAATGTACTGCCGATCTTCAATTTTGGTTGCACCATCTAATCGTAGATACAAATAACCATGGAAATTGAGAAAAACCTCCAGTATGTCGAGTATGCGAGTCATCTGGGTGAATATGAGAATGCGATGACCACCTGCTTTTCGTTCGCGCAATAGATAAGCTAGTTCTTGCAACTTGCCGCAGTCATACTGAAGAAGAGATGGATCAGGGAAGGCGATTTGCAACTTGACACTTGCGCGGTGCAAGACTCCGTCGAACTCAGGCTTCGACTGCATGCGGTATACTTCTCCTTCGTGACCAGCCAATGTGATGGCAGGCATGTCGCGAGCGATCACGGCCGGCGTCACAAAGGTAAACCTGTCAATGACGCTGGCCATTTCGTCTGCTCGTTCGATATATGACTTGATCATGCGAGGGATGGCTTCGACGGAATCCCATCTGCGCATGTCCATGTTTGACAAAGGTAGTAATGGCTCATAGAATCGATTCGTCGCTTCAAACAACTCCTGGCTATACAGCGGCTCGCGCCCAATTCGAAGTCTGTTGAGGTACGCGATATGCGACCATCGTGCGATCTGGGCAGCTCGCTGCTGCCAGGCCCGAAAACGCTTATAGCCTGCAATTGTGCGCGTGTCATGGGGAGGAGGTTCGCCTGGGAGCTCGGTGATCATCGGCAGGTGCTGTGTGCCGTCTAGACGACGCATTTCTTCAGCAGCGATTTTGGAGGTATTCTGTTGCTGAATGAACTGAAGTCCGAGGAGATCGAGGTTTGGCTTGTCCTCATCCCGGCAACGAAGCAGGTCTCGACGGACCAAAAACTCCTTGATCTCGTAATTTGCGATGGCGGACCGCTCCATCGCAAAAGACGTTACGATCGGGCGTACCTCAAAGAGATCGGGATGGTTGACCACCTTTCGCAACTGCATGAGGATGTTCGCGACTTTCTGGTACACACCGGATTGCAAGTCATGCCGTGTCTCAGCACGAGCCATGAACTCGTCGTACAGGAAACGTTGCCGTTTTGATAGCGGGCACATTAAAAGGTGTTCGAACTTCTGCGGCAGCTCTTTCTCTACGTCCCGCTTGAGTCGCCTCAGCAAGTACGGTCTAAGGACGGTGTGCAGCTTCGTTACTCGCTGTTGCGTCTCGTCATCCATGGTGCCCATCTCGATCGCTTTTTCCAGGGGATCTAACATATCAGCCTTTAGATGCAGGCAAGCGCAAGTGATTGAGTCTGAACGCACTTGAGAACCATTCCCCGAACTCCTTCAGGTTGGCAAAGTTTGTCCCTGACATAAGGAACTGCAACAATGCCCATAGCTCTGTGAGATTGTTCTGCAGTGGGGTACCGGTGAGGAGCAGACGACGGAAGGATCGGAACATAAGCAAAGTGTTCCACCGCTGAGACTTGAAGTTCTTGATCATGTGGGCCTCATCGAGGATCATGTAGTACCAAGCTTTCCGTTTGAATACATGGGCGTCACGGCTTGCAAGCGTATATGAAGTCACGCAGACGTTGAAATGGTACTTGTTATTCCATCCCTGCCGCAGCTCTTTCCTACGCTTGGTGTTGCCGTGATAGCTCAGCACCTTGAACCCGGGAAGAAACTTCTTGAATTCCATCTCCCAATTCAACAGCACACTAGTGGGAACAATGATGAGATGCGGGCCCCATATTCCGCGGTCGCAGGCGAGGTGAGCAAGGAGAGATATTGTCTGGATCGTCTTGCTGCAGAATTTTGTGTGTTAGGCTTCTATAGCTCGGTTCGGCATGTGGACTCACCCTAAACCCATCTCGTCCGCCAGAATACCATTGAGATTGTTCGAATGGAGAGTAGCCAACCACTCAAGGCCAGTAAATTGGTATGGACGAAGAGTCCCGCGCAACAGAAAGGGTGTCTTGATCTTGGAATCAGAATCCCACTCGACGGGGGTAACAGCGAAGGGCCTGAGATACGAAGGAATCGAGACGTCTTCTTCCATATCGCTATCGCGGGTAACATCACGATCTACAGTTCGATCGTCGAAAGCACCATCTAATGGCACCTTGTAATCCACTACATCTGCGCTGCTATTGACAGAAAGCGTGGATGTGGAAACTTCCTCTTTGGACGTGAGTGCCGTCAGTGTACCGCCGGACGCAGCAGAAGCAGTAAGAGTCTGGTTGAGCTGTCCCGTCGGTTCATTCGCGAAAGATTTTGTTGTCGGTTCGAGAGCGTCATCTGGAGCCGCTCGAAAGAGAGATTCGTTTGCACGTCCCAGTTTGCTGTATCCGTTGGTATATGCTGCATCGTTAACGATCGTCGAGAACCCCGGCGAGGTTGGCGACAGTGCGAAAACTGTGCTTGATTCTTCTTCACGATAAGTCGACGTTTTTGGCCTCTCATCCTCTTCACGGATGGAAGTAGAGAAATTTCGGTAATGGCCTTCAGGAATCGCGAATTCGACGGACAGAGCACGGCTACTGACAGCCTCGCTATGAACATCGACGTCATCCAACTCGACGGGCAGCGGAGTATCTGGCGGCTGCGAGACACTTGCGCTCCGGCTCGTACTGATATCCATGGAGATGGACCGAGAGTCCTCGTCAAAATGGAATTCAGATCCTCCGACGAGTAACAGACTCGCATCGACGTCTTGGACGTTCTCGTCCGCACCTTCATCATCTTCAGCTTCCGTCTCTTCATCATTTTCGACGCCCTCCCCTCCATCTGAGGACGCGTCATCCGGCTCCGGAGATGCAGCCCAATGCCCGAACGTCGTGGAGACGCTGCTCGACCGACTGTATGAAGCCGCCTTTGTCAGCTCAAGCTGCTGTGCCTCCAGAATCTGGCCAGATTGATCGAGGATCGCATCTAGGTGCTCGTGGCCGCGCCTGCGCTCTTCCTCCTCTCGTTTCAGCCTCTCTTCTTGTCGAACATGCTAGCACATGCAACCCATTCTGTCAGGAATACTGCACACGAGGCGTTATGCTGCACTTACATAGACAGCCTTCTTCCACTCCGCGACCACCATCTTCACCGTTGCTTTTGCTAGCGCGCGCAAGCGCTTCTCCTCCTGCACCTTTATCTTGTCCTCTTTGACAGCCCGACTCTCCCAATATGCCCGCATCCTGCTCGCAACTTGTGCCGCGACCTGATGGCCGGTAAGTGGACGATGCAATGCTTTCGCCTTGACGGCATCGAGCACATGAGCCCAGGGGTCCTCATGTTGATCATACAAATCGGACGGGCTCCTCGATCTGCCTACGGTGTCATCAGACCGGCTGGTAGGGAAAAACCGCCCCTCTTTATGCAACCTGTCGACACGGTTTAAGAATGCTGCCTCTTTGCGAGCGAGCTCTTGCAACTCGGTCGCGTCCAGCTCTTTGCCATCGAGCACGGCGAATGATGATAGAAAGTCGGACAGAGACTCTCCGTAGCGCGGCAGCGGTGGCCTTTGAAGCGGACTGGAATAAACGGGGTCCGGGCGGCGCACAATGAGCTTGATGCGTCTAACTGTGGATTTGACGTGTGAGGATGGCTCAAGAGGTCGATGCCATGGCGATTCCCTCGTGCGATCCGATGCAGGTGCACGCCTCGAGATCGCAGAGATTGACTCAGGTGAATTGGGGATGTGGCCATTGGATAACCGTCGTTTCTTGTTGGGAGGCTGCGCACCCAACGGACCTGCAGTCTCCCCGCCACGCTTGCCTGTACGTGATGGAGGCGACTCTGGGTTCTCAAGAGCTTTCGCCTTCTCCTTCCCCTTTCGACTACCATTGGTACTTGAACTGGCCGGCAAGCCCGGAGGCGGCATGTCCGCCTTCTGCTTGCCTGCCGCGGAGGCCGTCCTGATACGTCCACTTTGAGGAGTAGAATGAGCATTTGACGAATGCTTGAGCGACTGTAGCCGCTCCGTGTGAGACCTTCGCGTCTGGCGGGAGAGCCCGACGGATGACGAATGGTCGATAAGGTCATATCGCCCTTGGTACTAACGGAAATGTGAGCTATGTCGGGCAGTATAACCTGAGATATACCTCTTTGAACACAGCCGAATTGTCATCCTTTGCAACCTACAAAAGTACGCGCTTGTCACTACGAGTGCCCTCATGCATGGCAGATCCTGCGCACCTTGGGATCATATGACAACAAAGTGACGAACTTCTCGAGATGAAAGGCTTCGCGAACCTGATCGAATCATCAGCCTTGTTCAATGCTTCTTTGTGAGGTCAGGAGATGTGTAGCTGCTATATGTAGGCAAAAGAGGCAGTCGCACACGTTGAAGCAGCATGTTTCCAGCCGGGGATTCGGACCATTACATCCCTCTCACAGTTTGTAGGCATAGCCGAAGGTAACAGCCATATTATTCCATTGGCACGACGCAGTCCTCCCGCAAGCTGCTCTGTGTAGACAAAGGAGTGGGCCATGCACATATCACAAGCCGTTCGGTGAAGTCATGAATCGCGTCTCCTTTGATACTCCAAGGGAGGCGGCAAGTTCAAGTACCTGTCCATCATTCAACGCGGAACGATGGAGTGCTGGATGACACGGAATGCTTTCGAATGTGCAAGTACCATAACAGTCATATATGCATGGGAAAGACCACGTACCAGGGTATCATGCGTATTGAAGACGTTGTCCAGCTCCGTCTGCCGCTGCTGCACCAGTATAGCACGCTCACGCTCGACACTGTCATCCTGCACGAGCTTCTCTTTCTCGCCCTCATCCCTTGACACAGCGGTCGGTGTCTTTCGGCGTGAATCCGGGTCATTAGATGGTCCAGAAATGGTTGAACGCCGTCTGGCATTCATTGCAGAGAATCGTGCATGTAAGCGCGTGGGAGGTAGGTCGACTTGACTGATCTCGGCAGATACCCGACGGTTTCAGGAGATTCTTGAACTCAGAGACAGTACAGACGATTCCAGAGCGAGAAGAGCCGACTGTAAGCAGGATGCAGCAGCACGTCGGTAGCATGCGCGAACTAGAGGGGTCGGACGCCATGTCGCGAATTACGGAGAGATTGTTTGGTCATGTAAACAAAATGATCGCTAGGACAGTAATTGTGGCCCATCGTAATGAAGTTCCTTACAGCAATGCTATCATCATTTCTAAACAAAATCGAACGAGTGCTTCGGCTGCTAGCCATGACTATTGAAAAGAGTCTAGTCAAGACATGCATCGTTTCAGCGTGCTGTAACTAGAGGATAAATCTTTCGAAGGTCACTCGTGCTTCTGCCAGTGGAGGGCAAGTTGCCAACACTTAGTATTTCATTTCCGTACTATATTATCGTTGCGTTCAGCACCGTCCGTATAGCCAGCTCCAAGGCTCCTTTTCCCGAACAGTCATGAATCGCTGGGTGGGTGCGTTCTACCTGACTGGTCCTGCCATAAATCCCACATAGCGCTGTGTGGGACAAGGGGTGGATCGACCCTGGTGACACAATCAGTCGATCTCGTAACCGACACTCAAGTCGCCCGGAGTCACCACTTCCGAACTGCCCAGCCATTGTCCCAATGCACATCACAACATACATGGGTAATCTCACCAACGGATCCGTCCAGCTCAGTGCAGAATCTTGCACTGCATACGCGCCTGCCATGGCGCTCGCGAGTCAAGACTTATCAAGACAATCATGCAAGCGTGTGTACCCGTTATCAGTTCGAATGCCTGACTATCGCATTGATTGGACATGAGTACACGCTAATAGCATCCCATCAATGAATGCGGTCCCGTCACGTCAACGTCGGTAACGAGGGAGTCAATCAAGACGTCGAAGAACGCATATATAGGCCCGTGATACATGCAAGGAATCTACATCACCTACATCAAGCTCCTGCTCTGCCCTCGACATGGCAGCATCAATTGCGGCACTGAAAGCCAGCAGCCTACCTGACCTGCAGGCCAAAGTGGTGGGATGGAGGCAGAAGCAGCAACCAGATCCGGGGTTCAAGACCTCCCTTACAGACATTTCCAATCAACTTACGAGCGGCAATGTGCTGGATGAAGTTGAGGGGAAAGACGTCTATGTGGCGTTCAGAACGCGGCCCCCGCTGGAGAACGAATTTCAGGCGAATTTTGCGACGTTAGAGTCTGAGGATGAAGAGAACGCTGAGGATCCGACACGGTGGAGCGATAAGGGTAGCGAGTCTCATGCTCCCGAGAAGTTCACAATATTCTGTCCGGGCGTCACCTTGACAAGCTCCGAGCCTGGCGAGTTTGTCGCTCATGTTCCTGGTTGGAAGGTGAGCATGCATCACAGACATTATTTTAATGAGCAAGCATATGAATCCAATTTATAGTGGTCGGGCGCGACGCTTATGCACAAACAGTTTGCGTCCGATATCGCTTTTGGCGCAGACGCCGACAACGAGGAGGTTTACCAGCGCACAGTGGTAGCCAACGGCGTTAGTCATGTTCATAACCGATGCGCAAGGTGGTTATTGACTTTGAGTAGCTGCTGCCACTTGCATTGTCGGGTGGCACAGCCTGCATCCTTGCATACGGCCAGACCGGCACGGGGAAAACCTACACAATGGAAGCCTTAGAGCATCGTGTTGCCCGAGATCTGTTCGCGGTGGGAGATGCTGTCGGTCGTCGCCTCCACGAAGCGGAGAAGAAGACATTTGAAACAGACGCAAATATGGCTGATGGCAGCGAGAATGATAACATCTTCGAGTACAACGTAACGTTCTTAGAGCTACTTGGGAAGCGTGCAGTCGATTTGCTCGAGCCTGTGGAAGGCCTTCCCGTAGACGCGCAAGGAAACATCTTACGCTCAGAGGTGCCGATTAAGGAGAATAAGGTGCGTGAGTTCGAGATTGTTTTCAGCCGCAAAGTCTGACTTGTTCGCAAGGCTGGAGACTTTAATCCGCCGCTTATCACGAATGCTTTCCGTTCATCCGAGGAGCTCGAAGCGCTCATTGCAAGAGCACTCGCGTATCGGTGAGTAGGATCTCAGCAGTACAGATCCAACATGCTAATCGTTTCACAGACGCACCTCTGCAACAGCCCGTAACGCGACATCCAGCCGCAGCCACGCTATCTTGACAATTAGAATTAAGAACAAACTCCTGCCATACGCTGATGAAGGGCGATTAATACTCGTCGAGTGCGTCATTTGCATTCATAGTCTGCCAGAAAGACTATATCTCTTTTCAGCCTTGCCGGAAGCGAGAGATACGAGGACTCGAAAATGCACGATAAACAGCGCATGGACGAGTCGCGGGAGAACAATAAGAGTCTGATGAATCTGAAAGACTCTGTGCGAGCGAAGGCGCGGATGGCAGACGAGGAAGGCTTCGTGCACATTCCTTGGAGGTTGAACAAACTCACCATGCTGTTGAAGGTGATCTCTGTTCCTTGGATACCACGATCCCGACTAAGCTACGGTTGCAGCCAATCTTCGACGTAGAATCTCGCCGGGCTACAAAGACGGTCATCATCGCTCATGTTTCCCCGCATATCCAAGATTCAGTGCACAGCGTGAACACGCTCTCATATGCTGCACCCTTCAAGACATCGCCCCCGAAGCCGCGCGGGCCTGCTCCGTACGACCCAGCAGATCCACGAACCTGGAATACTGCTCGTACGCGCCAATGGTTAACGGACGAATTCACCGTGCGCGCGAGGACCAGACAGATCGCTGCACACAAAGTCAAAGAAAAGGCGGCAGAAAGACGCGGGAAAAAGCTCCGTCCAATCGACCCTAATTCCCCGGTGCAGCTTCTGGTCGATGTTGACAAGCTGTGTCCCGAAGGCATGACCGCAGTGCACTTTGGACGCATGTATACCACGCAATTCGTCCACCGTTGTCTAGAAGAGAGAAATTCCGGGGCAGAGATCACTCCGGATGTAGTGAGGAATATGGCCGCGGAGGTGATTGGCTCTCTGTCGTATCTGCTGCTCAGGGCGAAGACAAGGACGCGGAATGAGATCATGAAGAGCAGGAAAGCGTTGGCGCTGGATGCGGTGTACGGTGCGTTAAATCCTTGTTATCTAAGGTCCTTCAAATAACTTTTGAGTGCTCACGTTCCTGCAGGAGCCGAGCCCACGTAATCAGCTCCAGTGAGATCTCGAGGACTTCGAGAAGTTGTACAATAGGTACGCAGAATTGCATGACGAAAGCTGCTATGGAATTCCCAGGTAGACGAAGACTGCACACACCGGGACTCGATGCATCGACCCACGGCAATCTGGAGGCATAATGATGTCATTTGTACCTCGTGTGAATATAATGCGATATCATCTGTTTCGTCCGTGCACATCCTCCTCAGCAAACGTTTGAGCTGTTCAACTGTGGGATGCCGTACCTGTCCTTCAAATTCACCGTCCGCGGGAGGGTGCAGGGAGTCTACTTCCGCGCATTCTCAAAGGGCGTGGCCCATGATGTTGGCGTCGTAGGTTGGGTAGCAAATGACACCGTGAGCCTGTCGTGATATATGCGCTCACCTCAAAGACATCTACAGAGACACGCTGACCTTGATTGCAGAACGGCCAGGTAGTAGGAGAGGCTCAAGGCGGCGAATCTGCCATAGATAGATTGTGAGGCATTCCACATCGGTTGCTCGCGATGCAGCGCTCTAATAGCTGATACAGCAAGAGAGCGCTATACACCGGTCCTCCATACGCTCGTGTTGACGCTGTAGATATAGCAGACGAAAGAGTCATAGACGAACTCGAGTACAATGCCTTTGAGGTTCGCCGTTGACCTGGAAGAAGCAGACCAAACCAGTCAAAGCGCAGTCCAGGGGCCGCCTCGACTAGCTGTGGCATCCTTCGCTCTGCTCCAGGAAGAAAGTCGCATTTGAGAGAGACTGAAGAGCAAGATATGTAGCGTGCAGTGGTCCACCGAAGAGGTGGTTTATTTCGGGAGGTCTTCGAAGGAAGCGCTTGTCGTGTAGATTAGATTAGATTAACGATCTATGAGCGCGGAAATCACTGACCACAGCCAATTGTCTCCGGCTCGTGCAAGTTCTACGACCTTGCAACGTCCAACCGACCTCTGCACCCTCGAGTCTTCGAAAATGGCACGAAAACCGCAATTGTCAATATATGACTACCTCCATCGGGGCGTGGTCTATTCATTGCTGGGCCTCACCATCTGGGGCGTCGTTACAATGGGTCTCGTTCACCGGAACACGATGCAGAAGGGAAAAGGTAAAGTATAGATCGCCACTCGCAGCTCCTTGAAGTGCACTTATCTATTCTCAGAGGTCAGCATTTGATTGTTTGTAGTCGTGCGAGCGGTTGTCTCATGGTTCGCCGTTGGTAAGGCTTTGGCGCTGAAGGAAGCGAGCGTTCAGCAAGAGCAAGAGCAGGAGGTGGGCCTCTGCTGGGATGCTTCTGTTGACAATCTGTGCTGATATATTCTCCTCCTTCAGGATGAGGAGAACGAGATAGCTCTTGCCCAGGCGGCGCAGTCGGTGCTTACGCGGGGAAGCAAGTCGTAATGAGCTGGAACTGCTCCTGGCAGCCGGAGCTCACCGCATGTGAATAGTCTGCCTTTCTCAAGTAGCTTGAGCTAATTCTGAAGGTGCATGGGATTCATTGCGTCTAGGCCGAGTCACGGCGACTGAGACTGCTTTCATCTCTCGTGGCAGTTTCTCTTTCCACCGCTACATCACCTGGCTACTTGACTGATCTACTCGCGATGTGTCTGACATTCTGGACTGAGTTGGAACCTCCATGGATAGCCAGATGTTGGTGGAGAGCATACTCCAGTATGCAGTCTCAATGTGCGCTTATTGAACGGATCCACTGTCGCCGTTGTGAACCGGAGCCACAACATCTTGCTAGATATGTTTGCGACTCGTCTGCGATCCTGCTTCGGCCCAGTATTCAACGTGAGTGCCCATGAGTCATCCTGAGATGTTGGGGTGGACACCCCCTTCCCTGTTTCAAGATTACTATTCCACTGACAGCGGCGCTTGGCCACAGGATCAGCAGTAGCTAAATAGCTCTGCGCATTGCCTCCTTTTCAGTCCAACGAGGTAATATTCATATGAGTAACTGTGATTCTGAGTGTGAGGTGTAGCTGGCCCAGCTCAATACCACGTCTGACAGAAGGAGTAGGGACTTCAGCCCACAACCATGAGCCGCACCCAGGACCTAATACAGTCTTGTTTTCCTTGTTAAACATCTTCTAGAGAAGACGCAGTATGCAGAAAATGGAGGAAGACGAGGTATTTTGGGAGAGGTTTGGGTAGGATGTTGGGGAGGAGATCTTGGAGGGGGAGACACCCCGAGTGCAGATCATTTCGAGTTGAAGCAAACAGTCTGGGTGCAAGTGGGAATATGGGATCAGACCAGTATTGAAATCTGGATGTGCTTGACGTGATATTTCGTTTCCAGATAGGCTGCAGCCTTCACGACCAGTGGCCGTGACCAGCGGCAGCGTAAACGTTGTATATGTCCATGTTCACCGGAATACCGGACTTGGACATCCGGTTTCAAAATAAAGCACACTTATGTAGGTCGAGGCATGAGCGTAGATCGCGCACATTGCCAAGACCTTCAAGCGAGTGTCGTCTTGACTGTCACAAGGCCTACAGATCGATCCAATATAATAGCTTGATGATAGTACACCAGTACAGAGGAGACAACGTGCATACTCTACCATGAGCGCGATGAGACATGAAAAGGAGGCAAAACTACATGACAATGTCGTAACAAGAAGTCCACGTCCACTCACGCCGTCGCGTTGTTGTAGATGAGCAGATTGGGCGTGTCCTTGGGGAGCGTGTCAAGCGCATCGTCCGTAGCGAGCGCCAGCAACGCAAGCTTGAGCTGCTTCGGCGTGAGCGTCTGCGGCGGGACGGGCACAGGCGCGACGGCCTCCTCGACGAGCGCCGGCGGCGGGAGGAACTCAGACACCCAGCTCGGCAGCACATAATGTGCGAGCGCGTACGCGTTCACCAACGACGGCGGCACCACGCGCGATTGTAGTGTCAGGGGCACGAAGTCCTTCGTCACCTTGGGGTTGAATGTCGCCGAGGGGTACAGCGAGAGCAGGTAAGCGAGCATGCCTGCGGTGTGTGGCGAGGCCATGGACGTGCCCGAGAGGGTGGACACGGAGGTGTTACTGCCGATGTAGGTGGAGAGGACATTCAGGCCTATCAGGAACATCTCAACACAGGCATTTATGTAGAATTGGATGTTCAGGCATACCAGGTGCGAAAACGTCCACGCACGGGCCGTGGTTGGAGAAGTAGGCACGCTCGTCGGCAAGCGTTGATGCGCCGACGGTGATTGCCTTCTCTGCCGCAGCAGGCGAGTTGTTGCAAGCATCCCTGTTATCATTGCCTAGGACACCATCAGTGACGCCCACAAAACCGTGACACAATTGTGACTCACCAGCTGCGACGGCGAAGTGAACGCCTGCATCTACAGCCTTGTTGACAGTGTCATCGAGAGCGCGCGACTTGCCACCGCCGAGCGACATGTTCGCAACAGACCCCTTGTGCTTCGTCTTGCCAGTTTCCATGAACTCCTTGAGTGCAGCCTCGGCCTTCTTCACAGCCTCCGTCGCGACCCACGCGACTCCCTCAACGACGTCGCTCATCGTGCCGCTACCGTTGCTGCCCAAGACCTTCACCGCAATTATATGAGCGGCCTTCGCGACACCGTACTTGCGAGATGCGATAGTACCGGCGCAGTGCGTTCCGTGGCCGTTGGCATCCTCGTCGACGTCATCCTTCGGAACAGTCTTTCCCCAGGACGCGCGGCCCTCGAACTCGACGTGGTGGATATTAACGCCGGTGTCAACGACGTACACGTCGACACCCTCGCCACCATCAACGTCATATTCGTACCTGGTGAAGGTGCCGAAGGTCAGCTTAGGCCTATGTGAGATCCGTGCCAGGCCCTGTTGTGATACTTATCAGTCACAACTCAAAGGAGTCATCAAGCAGCATTCACGCACCCAAGGAGCACCCTTCTGCGTCTCGACCTTGTTCGCCTCGATTTCCACTTCCGCGTCAATCTCCATCGTCCGGACGATCTGGTCCAGCTCGACGTAGTCCACCTCGGGCATCTGTCGTATCCGGTGGACGGTGCCCTCGCTGAACTTGCCAGCGTACCCCTTGATGTGTCCGTCGTACACATGCGTCAGACCGCCGTCGGTGTCATCCATGAGGGGATATGCCTCGTGAACACTCTGCAAAAAGTTGAGGTGGTTTCGCATAAGCGCAGACGGGATGTTGTCCTTGAGCATGACGATGTACGAATTGTTCACCGTCCCGTGCGGGTGCTCCTCGACGACCAGGGGAGCATAGGTGAGCAGGGACCGCTCGCGAGATATGTCATAGGAGTGCGTTGAGAGAGGCGTCGCTAAGCCTGACGCGGCGAGCGAGACCGCCAGCAGAGAGGCGAGCAGGAAGGAAGGCATGATCATCGTCGGGCGGAGGATGAGCGGACGAAGCTGCTTCCGCTTGATAAGGACACGCGTACCATGTTTGTTTCTATGTACATTGTGGCTACCTGGCGCCACTTCGCCCCAGTGCTGCGCCTATGGCCATATTAATGTCACGTCTGACTCACAATCACTGAACGCATGTATCGGAAGAAATCCTTTCTTGTCGGCCGGAGAAGTTTTGCAGCATTTGTGGCTGACATTTGTCCATCTTGGGACGCTTCGGTCAGCTCGGTGGCTCCACACCGGAATGCCCCAGCACATCCAGCGATATTGGTTCCATGAGCTAAAACACTTAAATTTCAGGCAACGAGATGATTCAAATTAAAAATCACGCCGATTGATACACATGAGGTCGGGTGAAAGATACTAGGAGAGTACGAGCAAATGAACCAAATCGAGTAGGCACATTGCCTTTAATGGCAAGGTTCTTAGATATCGCCCGTGGTTGTTGACAGGTATTTCTGGAGAGAAATCGACCACTGCTCAGAATAAGGAGCGACATTTTTGCTGTCAACGCGAAATCTCTTCTTGGTTGTAGGAGTGTCGTGTGCAGCGATGTTTAGCCTCTGGACGGCATCCTCCGCACCGGGCGCCTAGGGGCCACATGTTAACTTCGAGCTGGCGCCAATCAGTCACACGGCTAGCGAATTGTCAGACTGGACTCCAATCAGGAGGCGACACGGACGCGAACATTTTTGTGCCGACGCATGAGCGGAGGCGAAGAACCCCCCATGCGACGAAGGGCAGACTGGGGAGAGATAGACCACCATCAAAATTCCCTTTCGACGCCAACGGAAATGGTGTGTCCGAGAATTTGTCCTCGGCAGCCCCGACAGGAAGACATTTGTAAAAGGTTGAAATGAGACGTGAAGCCGGGACACTACCCTTACCATTTAGAAGGAAGGCCTTTCGAACTGCAAGGCGCGATCTCTACCGGATGGACGGGACAGTCGTCTCGCGGCGATGATATCTAACAGAGAGTTAAGACGCAGACAGGAAGGTTGGTCGGGAGAAACTGCACAGCCGCGTTTGAATTCTTGGTCACATTATTTGAAATCGTCCCGCACCAAGTTCAGTGCAAACATCACGAGCTTTGAGCATCGAAAGCACCGAGACCGGCCCTTCTGCGATTTGCAAAGTTGTCGACTCGGCCAATGTATAATCATCGGGAGGTGCCGTACAAAGCTGTCTGTGGTACGCCATTCTTCTTCCGAAACATGCTTGTGAGAAATAATTGCGCCTTTGCATCAAAGAAAGAACAGTTGCCCGCTGGCAGAACTAGAGAGTTGCAATCAGAGGTGAACGTCAGCAGTCCTTCGAGGGAGCTTCCAACCAAGACAAACGGTAGTTGTGGCTGGTCCTCCTTGAGGTCAAAGATTCTTCCATTATCGGGCTGCCTCGTCGCCAACTCCGCGAAGGACATGCATTCCTCTGAGTCTCGTGAGGTTGTGTTGAAAACGCCAGGAGAGGGCACAATGGCCGTTTCTTCATGCCTCAGGATCCATAGAGTGAACACTCTTTTCTCATTCATGGAGGCAAGTCGCTTTGCTGCTTCATGTTAAGACACGGGTTGAAGACCTCAGAGAATAGATCTCGGATTCAGAAGGGTGAGATACGATGGAAGCCCTGCAACTGTGATCGCCGGCTGCGCAGATTTATCGGCGTCCAAGCCAATGCAGACGACGTGATTGGACCTGCAGCTTTCATTCCGTTCGCCTTCGCCGTAGAATTATGATGTTATAATCCGGTATATCGTCAAGATGAGCTCGGTATCGTCGAACCCGGCGAGGGGCAACGAAAATGAAAATGATGAGAAGTTTGCGAGCGCCCGCATCAGACAGCCGCTCATGACCACAACAACGTCGACCGCTGCCGCGCCGGCATTCAGCTTGATGCCTTCCACTCGCACATCGTTCTGCCTATCCTTCGAATTAGCCTGGGCTTCACGATAAGCAGCGCCGAACGGACTATATATATGAGTCTTCAAGCAGGGAGCAGCGCGGATCGTCCACCTTATCGCGGGCTCTCTCCGCGCACGTCGGCGATGTCCTCGCTGCATGCAACGTTCTCTGGCGCAGGCACCGGCGCAAGTACGCCGAGCGGGCTGAAGACTCCAACGACTCCCGTCGGGCAGAGTGAAATGCAGGGATTGTTAGGCGTAGACGTCGAGCAGGGTGCGCAGGAGTACGGGACGAGACAGGCGCGAGGTGAGTTCGTTGCGCTTTTTGCATGGATGTTCTCCAGATTTTGTGCGGTTTCCTTTGCGATGCGAGTCGGATGCTGAGTCGCAAGTTTCTCTTTCTCTACGCTGGAGCGGTATTGAACCACATGGCGACGTTCATGACGATTCCGCGATGTGGTTAGATGGAGGCAGATGGGTGGCAGGGCACCCATACCAAACCCCACCCCGGCTGGGGGTGCTTTGCGATGTACATTCAAGCCGTTCACAGCCCTCGTTGTCTCTTGATTTATGCATATTCTACATAAATCATCGCATGAGTTATTGTCTATCCGGAACGATATCCATCAGCACATTTATCGGCGGATGCTGCACGCTCGCTTCAAGATCGGCCTTTAAGGTGACTGAACGAGCGATGCAATTAGCAGGCGGATTCCCGTCTGCAATCTTACTAAAAACTTGTATGGTTCTCCAAGCCAGGTCCGATGCAAGCGCTGCTTCCGCGAGTCTTGATGTTCTTTACTATAAAGGGAGCTTCCAACAAGTGGTTGCACTGAACGTATCCCTCAATTTTATTTGAGCAATGCTCATCTCGAGAGTCGAAGTTCGTCCCACAGGGTTTAAACCCTGACTTCAACACCGCAAAGTATCCCATCCGCACGCATCCTATAGAATTTAATTTCACCAAACATATTCTAGCAATGGTCTGTTACTGATGCTAATGCTTCGCCATAACTCTAGGTCCAACAACGAAACCGATCTCCCGTCGGACATCAACTTGGGCGAAAGTAAACTACTATGTTCCCTCCACCGCTTGGATTCCCCGATATTCGTGGTCACTGTGAGCTCTTTCCTTAGCTCACAAGCATATATAACTGAGCTATCGTGTAGTTTGAGTGGCGATGTCATTGCCGGTCTGACCGTAGCTTGCATGCTTATACCCCAATCCGTGTCATATGCCACATCTCTCGCGAGGTTGAACCCCATAACCGGTCTTGTAAGACTGTTCCGCCGGATATATGCGCTCTGTTGACCGTATTTCCTTCAGTTCTCCGCGTCAGTGCCAGGGCTCGTATATGCGCTCTTTGGCACCTCGCGGCAACTCAATGTTTCGCCCGAGGCGTCGATTTCCTTGCTGATCGGGCAAGCGGTGGACGAATTTCTGCATGACTCGCACTTCGCAAAGTATGGTAGAGAAAAGGTTGGCTTTGCCGTCTCTACGGTTGTTATGTTTCAGGTGGGCTTACGTGAACACTCATCTATAAGGATGGCATCGCTCAATCATAGCGCTTATAGGTCGGGTTGATCAGCCTGTTGCTGGGGCTGCTCCGTCTTGGCTTCATGGACGTCGTACTCAGCCGTGCGCTGCTGCGTGGGTTCGTTTCTGCGATGGCCATCGTGATCATGATGTGCGTCGCTCTCCTTGCGCTTCTTCACGAACAGTCAGGTCAAGAGATGCTAACCTCTACCTATGCAACAGCGAGCAGCTCATACCTATGTTTGGTCTGACGGCGCTACGGAATCAGCGCCAACTTCACAGCACAGCGGACAAGTTCTTCTTTATCATAGACAACGTTTGGGCGCACGGACACCCGCTCACGATGCTCATCAGTTTCGGCGCCCTGGCCGTGCTCTTGCTCATCAGAAGCTTCAAGAACCTGTTCCGGCGCTATGCTATAGTCTATCGGTTGCCGGAGGTGTTACTGGTGGTCATATGTTCAACGAGTGAGCGACGAGGCTACATCACTGTCGTGAGGCTGGGAGATTGAATGGGTGTCTGCGAACAGTTGTCTCTGATAAACTAGACTGGGATGAAAGCGGAGTGGAAATTCTGGGAAGCGTTCCTATCAATACTGGTTCTTCGCTCGTTCAGTTTCCCATTGGCACGATGACGCTCAAGTTTTTGCGTAGGACGACATCCTTATCTGTGTACGCACCATTTTTCTCATGTTTTGTATAAGGATGACAAGATGTTGACTCTGTCGACGCTAAAAGATTATGTGTCATCGTGGGGTTCCTCGATAGCATTGTTGCTGCAAAGCAGAACGCCGGAATATATGGCTATAGCATCAGCCCCAATCGCGAACTCGTTGCGCTCGGCGCCGGTAACCTCGCTGGGTCGTTCGTACCTGGCACTCTCCCTGCATTCGGATCCATAACACGGTGAGTTTGTGTTCCACCTCGTGTGCGATGCATGTGGGATGTACAGTGTATCTGATGTGGATGGTTAGATCAAAGATCAATGGCGAGGTGGGCGCTCGAACACAGATGGCTTCTCTGCTTTGTTCGGCCATCATCCTGCTTGCTGTCTTTTACCTCTTACCTTGGCTTTACTATTTGCCAAAAGCTGTTCTCGCTGCCGTGTAAGTGAGACACCGTGCCTGTAACGTAACTTTGGGCACTGATAGATGGACATTTTGTTATCAGAATATGCCTTGTTGTGTTCTCCCTCTTGGCCGAGATTCCACATGATCTTAAATTCTATTGGAGGTAGGCTGGCTCATGTTTCACTACCCCGACATGCCCTTACAGTTGCCAGATTGCGCAGCTGGGTTGATCTGTCTCTCATGGCGCTCACCTTCGTGTTGACCATCTTCTGGGACCTCGAGATTGGTATCGCGGTCAGCTTAGTCATATCGTTGTTGCTGGTTGTACATCGCTCTTCGAAGACGCGGATGACCATTCTGGTATGTGAGCGTAACGTCAAACTCGACTGCTCTGATACACGATGACATAGGGCCGGATCCCGGGCACCGACACATGGAAGCCCATAGATGAGAACCCGGAAGCGCAAGAGGATGCTTCTGGGGTATTAATTGTCCGTATAAGGGAGAATCTTTACTTTGGTAAATTAACAGCCGAATTTGCTTTGTATTTGTACTGATATCTTCTACGAACAGCGAACACAGCGCAGTTGAAGGGTAAGGCATAGTTCGTGCCCTGATATCTGTCCATCACACGTCTGACTGTACCCTGTCCTCGCCACCAGAGCGTCTCCGCCGACTGGAGTTGTACGGCGTCAGCAAGCATCATCCGTCCGATGAGCCACACCGGGAACATGCTAGCGTGCTCGTTTTCCATCTAGCAGATGTCGATAGCATCGACGCCTCGTACGTCGCCGCTGCTATGGCCCGCATCATTTCTCTCACACCTGCCTGCAGCGCCGCACAGATATTTTACGAGCTAGTCGAAACATATCAGGTCCGTGCTATCTTCATCTCACTAGAGCACGCTGATGACAATGTGGCTACAGAGCCGAGGCGTGGGACTGTACATCACCCACCTGAAGAAGGGGCCGCACATCACGTTTGAGCGTGCAGGAATCGTCAAGCTGCTAGGCGAAGACTCCTTTTGCAAGGACGTAGCGGCTGCAATGATCCGGATCGAGCAGAGCTCGCGGGAACGTCATGAGCGATATTAGCTGTAGATGCGACATGATAATCCCAGCCACGCTTGGGCCACATTTTGATAGACTCTAGTAGCTGCATGCTTGGTATAGGCTGCTCCATACGATACCTGGCAACGGCTGTGATGTAATGCATAAACATCGGACATCCTTATGCAGACATTCGGAAATACTACCGTTGTAGGCGGACGAGAATCTGGCAACCATCATGCATGATTCTGATGAATATCAGATGGCAATTTAGTGGTGAGGTTCTTGCCCCTCCAATCAAAGAGCAGAGCGGCTAAGAGGCGGTACATCACGGAAGAAACGTCTGATACGCGGGAAAGATCTCCACGAGACGCAACGTCACGGGACGAATGATATAATATACAATTGCCCTGGCCGGCCGTACAGTACATCGGTATAATGCACAGTACTGTAGAAGATAAGAAGAAGATTTGCCTTCTAAATAAAGAATATGCAACGATGAAGGGCAAAACGAAGTGGGAAATCATGAAACGTCGTCAGGAGTGTGGTGTGAACGTCCGATGCGCCGTTTTGAAGTCCACCTGTCAACATGCCCACCTGGCAAGCTTGAATGCCTTGCTGACACAGTGGAATCGCAGGGGTCCGTATTTGCGTGCCTTAGTGCTCGCCATGGGATGCCCATCAGCAGAAAAGCGAGAGACATTGCCCTGGATGAGCGCTAGGTGTTAAGATTCGGTAGTATAGCGGAGGTTTCACGCGGAACATACCTCGTCAGATTCGAAGATGCTGCCGTTTAACGTATCCGTAGGGACGTCCGGCACCACCTTCTCGGAAACGAGAGGGGATAGGGGAAATGCAGCCACGGGCGCTACTGACATCTCCATCGAAGACCAGCAGGACGACTCGAAGGCGCGCCACGGGTCCAATAGCACATCATCATCAATCTGTCTTAAATAGGATCTAGCGAGCGGTTCCGATCCGGCAGCAATGCGAGTGATCTCAGACTCGACACAGTGCACGGCTGATTCGGTAGGCAAGGAATAAGGAGTCGCTTGGATGGGTTCCTCGTATACCGAGGTCAAGGCAGTTGAGGCGGCCGACGGCTTGCGTTCATGAATAAATAGAGATGTGGAATCGGAGAGAATGGAGCTGGCGGAACTGCAGGATAGAGGAGTGCTCGGAAGGTGGCCGTCCAGACAGTGTCCTGACGTATGGAAGCTGAATGCCTCGTCAACATCATCAGGGATGTAGGCTAGAGGCGACCGCGGGCTGATATCAGAACGTAAAGACTCGTTCGTGAGCGGCGTGAATAGGAAACCTCTCTGAGTAGCGCTCCATTCCGCGGTGAATGTGAGCGATGTCTGAGGAGTCAACCCGGGTGTTGCTGGAGGGAGCGGAGAAGCCGGTAGGTATAAATGTGCACCGCTCAACAGAGCTTTCCGACGTTTCTTCTTGACGTTTAAAGGAGCGACATGTACTGCCTGAGGATCGCGTCATATGAGCTTGATGGCAAAGTAGATGAAGCAATACCTCATACCGGTACAGCCCTTCGGACCCGCAGAGGATCGACATCCTTATTGGAAAGAGCGACACCAGACAGCTGTCCAAGGACAGGGGAGTCCACCATGCTCCGGGCATTGTCCGTGCTGGACGGAGAAGTAACGAGGTCAACAAAGACCTCAGGTCGCGCGGCGACCATATCCAAAGAGTTCTTGAAGCGTCTCCGGTGCGCTGATGCAGGCATTGCGAAGCAAGGAACGATATAATATAAAGAAAGAAGTTGGAAATGGCCGGGGCCCAAAAAATAAAGGGAAGGCGAAGGCAAAGGCGAAGGCACGGACAAAGCGAATTGGCAGCCGCTTCCTTTAGAGGTACCTACGGGCGTCAGAGGCGGATACGAATGCGATTGATGACAGATGTGGGTATGGTAGCGACGCAGTCCGGGAAGTCGAGCGTCGAGCAGCTCCATCCGCTATACAAATATCTCGGCGCACGAGTGCATCCTTCCCAGACCCATTGGTCAACGCATGGCAGGTTGTCCTCTGATGTCTGGGAGACCAGGAACGATAGCGGCAACGAGTGCGATCCCGACGTCGACACGCACCTTGCATGAGCGCCACACGCGTCTGTGAGTGTCGGTGCAGGTCGCCACGATCACATGATTGTCACACGTCGCTGCCGTCTCTCGACATGCATGATGGCGTGCCACGATGGACAGCATACCTTGCAGGCGATATCAATCAGTGAACATAGCTCCCCGCAAAGGCGTAACCAGCATGCCAGGCGTGAGACCATCGGATGGGTGAGGGAAGCAAGCATGGCTGCCTGAGATCGACCTATCATCGCAACATTCGGAATCACCACGCGATTGGGTGCGTATAACCCGTGATGAGATTCGAGGACATGTATGGGAACGGCGGTTGCACGCATCGCCCTCCATTGGATAGAAGCGAAATGCTTTGCTGATCCCAGACGCGAATCGCGTGCAAAGCAGGTTCTGAAGCCACCGGCGTAAAGCGGGATGCGTTTAACGGCGGAGTCGCATCATTATACTGTTACCAAGAACCGACTCAAACGAGCCGACAGTAGCCTTATTCATTCTTGATCCTCCCCAGGCTGAGCCTATCTCTGCCTTCCGCCATGATGACGACTTCTCCGAGTGCGCCCCATGCGTCATGATCCAGCTTCAAGAATTTCGCCGCCGTGTCAGCTTTGTTCCCAGCCCGAGATCCCGGGATGACAGTTTTGGGCTGATAACGTTCGCTATCCGGAGGCAGCGTCGGATTCCACCATTGTCTGCTTGACACGCCAGCAGACTTCAATTTTAGGAATTGTTTGTGTGCCTTCAGAAGGAAATTCATGTTACGTGTGATGCGGTGCGGCAGCCCACGCGAGCGTGCTGATATGGTTAATAACGACAAAGTCTCATCCACTGACAACATGAACGGTCAGGCCGCGTCATCAGCATGGAAACGTCACGCACTTCGGCTCTCCCAAAGGCTGTACCAGCGCTGGAGCTTATTCCGCTCGCTCTCAGACGTCGGCCCATCCTGTAGACGGCGGACTATCCGAGCAGCGCCTTCGAACACGGGCCTCCACGCTTGCCTCAGTCTTTTGACAGCGGGGCGTTTGTAGAGGACAGAGGCGGCTGTGGAGCGCAGAAACAGACGATAAAGACTCGTGAACGTCGGGGGTAGGTTCCGGGACATCGTGGGAGCAGCAATTGGATGCCTGGGGAAGGTTCAGCAGTGAAACTTGATGTCAATTAGCTAGCAGCCTTTTTGACGTGACTGTGCGGTCTCTGGATGCGGCTGTGTACGTTGGTGAACTTGAAAGTCAAGAGAGACTTTGCGAGGATGGAGCGCGTCAAGACTCAAGTTAGCGCCTCACTCTCAGGCTGCTTCACTGTTCAGTGTTCCCACGAATTGGTATACTAGTATACTGTCCTGCCAGCAATTTGCACCATCAAACGGCCTGTCACGAGCATGCAGCACTGATTATAGGAACGACTTTCCTCCTACAGGATTCGGGAAGGCTGACTCATGATCTTATGCAGCACCTTAGAGACCAACTTTGCATTGTCTTTAATTTAACATCAACGATTACCAGTCAAGTACGATCGTCATCCGAAGTTTACAATGATAGAGCCACGGATGACAAGCATGTATGTGAACTGACGGGAGATCCGATCAATTGCGCCCTGTTTCAACGGCTGTACTACATGTGGTACGAGACTACGAGTCAACTCTTCTCCGGCAATTCTCACACAGATCCGACGTCAACAGGTCATTGGCACTTCCCTACGTTGTTGTTCCGGGCCAAGCGTTGGCAGATCGATGCTGCTGTGAAGGTATGGAGAGGGGACGGATATATGCTTCAGTACCGTTCGCCAATGTCTCTACCGGTGGCCGCGAGCATGTGCTTGTCTCACAACCTAGCATGGAGCGCAAGTCGGATGCGCCCATATCTCATCTAGCCGCAATGCCTTCAGCTCCGGCAGTCCCAATACTGCCGCTTCTCCGGATAGCCATGTGCATCTATATGATTCGTCTTACCGGGCACACTCACAACGGTCCAAACCGTGCAAAGGCCTTGCATTTCTTTGGCATTGGATGTCACTAACTGCTAACGGAGACATCTTTCTTCCAGATGGCTACTCGTTATTGTCTAACCAGGACTACATGCGTGCGCTTTTTCAGTATGAATGGCACCATCCAGCTCCTCGAGACTTTGGTCAATGAAAATTGTCGCGACGCTCATAACGTAGAACCAAACGATATCCGGCATTCTATCTCATCCAGGCTATTTCGCCAAAATGCAAGTGTAAGGCTTCAAGGTCGACTTAACGGTTCCAAACTTGGAGTGACGACTGTGCCAGTGTCAACAGACCGACAAGCCTTTTCCCCATCGCGCCACCGCTAACGCACCAAGCGCTGCCACGGAACCTGCCAAGTCAACCTCTACCGACAGGAACTTGAGCCGAATCGCATCACAGCACGGCTTCAATCTTGGAGTTGTGACCGAGCCAGTGTCAACAGACCGACAAGCCTGTTTCCCATCTCGCCACCACTAATGCATCAGTCGCTGCCAAGGAACTCTCCAGGTCTACAGACAGGAACTTGAACTGAACCACATTGCACAGCCTGGAAATTCATGCGACACGACGTCAAAACGCGAACTGCCAAAGTGATGTACGGATAGCTTTAACATTCCGCGACGTTGGCGGAAGATGTTCTTGACATGGACAGGGGCCCAAGCCACCGGTGACTCTGACATGCGGCGCTGCTCATCACAACCCTCTCTCCTCCCCGACCCCGCGACGCTCTTCTCTAAGATGCTGCCCAAGAGGGAATGGTATGGCAAGACCAAGAAGGCGTCGTAAGGCACCACGATACAAGATGGACTGTGTAT